GTTCCATTCCCAGCACCCACATGGTGGCTCACAAACATCTGTGATGAGATCTGGTGCCCTCTTCTGGCCTGGAGGCATACATGCAGGAGGAACACTATACCCATAATAAATAAATACATCTTTTTCTTTTTTTATAGTGGAATGAGTGTGGACAAGGGGGCTCAGTCCCCAGTCCTGAGAAACTGAGCTTGATCTGTGGAACCCACATCTTAGACATAAGAATTCATTACTGCAAGTTGTCCTCTGGTTTCCACATGGATGTCATGTACAGAAAATAAACAAACAAACATAAAAATAAAATCAAGAAACAACAGATACAATCTCTATGTGAGTATCTAGGTGTTCAAATGAGAAGAACAATCATAAACTCTTCATCTTATCAAAGGATGCTTATGAGCCAGACCCAGGATCACAGACCTGCAAATCCATCTACTAGGGAAGCTGCCTCAGGAGAACTGCCAGTTCAAAGACAGCCTGGGATACAGAGTGACTTTGAGCTCCACCAGGAGTATGTGACCTTAACTTTTCATCTGAATAAAAGGGGATGGAGATAAGAGGTTTCTATGAGTAGGACACCTCTTTCCATTTTTACTATGAGCAGGTCTCTGATTCAATCTCTTGTCTTGAGGAGACAAAGAAAAAGAGGAGAGAGAACAGCCAAGGAATAAATTAATATGAGATAACTGCTGGAGGTAAATGAAGGCAGAGTCTTGTATGTGTGGAGATGAACATTCAGGTCTCAACCTTGCTCTAGGGAATAAACCCTAAGCCTCAGAGACACACCAGTCCAAGAAGATTACATTGAATGTTTTCAAATACATGTGATCACATGTGAGGCTGGTGGAGCCACGGGTGGCTGAAAATGGACAAGTTGCACAGTTTTTTCTTCTACAAATAATTTATGTGGTCAGCCCTTCTGGGATACACAGCACAGAAATTATTGGCTTTTGAGAAAAACATTTTATACAATCTATTTTAATCACCTTGGCATTGGGTCTACTTTTAGTCCTAAGGCTCAAAATGGAGGAAGAGTAGGAGCTTTTTGACTTTCTGCTTAGTCTTGTCTATATAACGTTTTCCAGAAAACCTGTGGCTACATAGAAAATAAAATGTCTCTAATACTCAAATGTGCATTTATATACATATATTTTTTGAACCCCCCTAGCTCTTCTCCACATTGTGTCCATGGAAATTCGGTTTTTTTCTCTTTCATAAATATAGATAAGTTGTAAGTACCTACATAAATGTCACACATACACACATACACAAAATAATATAATGACATTTTAAGCCAACTCTTTATGGCCTGAACATTGGGCCTACAATAGACTGTGATTATTTACCCAGTTATTTGTTTTGTTTTGTGTTGTTTCTTGAGACAGGTTTCTCTGTGTAGCTTTGCATATTTCCTGGTACTCACTTGGTAGCCCAGGCTGTCCTCATACTCACAGAGATTGCCATGGCTCTGCCTCCCAAGGGATTAAAGGAGTGTGCCATCAATGTTTGGTGTTTACCCAGTTTTAAGAAATTGTAATGGGTGGGGGGTAATGGTGGACCATGCCTTTAATTCCAGGACTGCATTGGCAGAGTTAGGCAGACCTGAGTTCAAGGCCTGTCTAGTCTACAGAGTGAGTTCCAGGACACTAAGGGACACCCAAAGAAACTCTATCTCAATCAGGGGAATCATTTGGGCTGTTAAGAGCACTAACTAGCCAGGCAGCGGTGATGCACCCACTTAATCCCAGCCCCCGCGTGGCAGAGACAGGCAGATCTCAGAGAGTTGGAGGACAGCCTGGCCTACAAAGCCAGATCCAGGACAGGTACCAAAACTACACAGAGAAACTCTGTCTCCAAAAACAAAAGAAAGCAAGACAAACAGCATACAAACAAACAAACACAAAATCAAACAAACAAACAACAAGAGAAAAACAATATCTGCTTTTCCAGAGGACCTGGGTTCACAGTGTACCTCACAGCTATCAGTTACTCTAGTTCCAGGGCATCAGACTCTGGGCCAGACATACATACAAGCAAAACACCAATGAACATAAAAATAAATTATTAAAAAAAAAAAGATTTAAAAACATATAAGGGCCGGGCTGTGGTGGTGCACAGCTTTAGTCCCAGTGTTCAGGAGGCAGAGCCTGGCAGATCTCTGTGACTTGGAAACCAGCATGGATAGAGAGTGAGTTCCAGAAAAGTATTGAATGCTACACAGGAAACGCTGTCTCAAAAAGGGAAGGGGAAAAAAATCCAGGCAGTAGTGCACACATTTAATCCTAGTACTAGGCAGGCAGATTTCTGTTGAAAGGCTCCAAAGTAACAGAGAAAACCTGTCTTAAAAAAACAAACAACAGCAATAAAAACAACAACAACAAAAAACAAAAACAATAAGGAACCTCAATAAAAGTCATGGTTCACAAAATTGGACTTTGGTGGTATCTGTGCTTTTTTCTGTCCCTGATTCTCTGTCTCAGGTCAGTAAACATTTGTTTGTTGCAACTCTACCAGAAAAAGTTTGTCACAGAGCACGATCAGACAGTGGGGAAATATTTAGAATATACAACAAAATATTTTTAAATGAACTGCAAGAACAAGCAGCCCTAAAAGGCCATGGTGTCACACACACCTTTAATCTTAGCACTAGGGACACAGAGGCAGGTGGAATCCTGAATTCTGGGCCAGCCTGGTCTATGTAAATAGAATTCAAGGAATGCTGGGGATACAAAAAGACACCTGTTTCAAATGAATAAAGTAAAGAGAACAAGTAGATTTTTCTTTTTAAAATTTAATAAATGGAGTATAGAACTAAAGAGAAAGTCTCAAAAGATAGAACACAGAAGTCAGAGCACCTATTTTGGATGCTGATAAACAGGCTGGGTATGGTGGATTACTCCTTTAATCCCAGCACTCAGGAGGCAGAGACAGGAGGATGTTTGTGAAGGTCACCTCATCCTGTTCTATACAAAGACCTGCAGGACAGTTAGGTCCATTTGTAGTGAGACCTTGTCTCAAAAACAAACAAACAAACAAACAAACAAACAAACAAACAAATATAACCAAAACAAATGAAAAAAACAAAAAAAAATGAACAAACCCAACAGGCTGGAAAGTAGTGGCTCACTCCTTTAATCCCAGCACTCATTAGGCAGAAGCAGGCAGATCTCTGAGATCAAATCCACTTGGGTCGTCTACCTGGTTTAGAAGACAGCCAAGGCTACACACAGAAATGCCATCTCAAAATTATGTATATGTCATATTGAGCAATAAGGTCAATGCAAATTAAAACTACCCTGAGATTTTCTTAGCTAAACAGAGTGTTCAAGATTAAAAAAAAAAAAAAGGACACCTTATGCTGTAGAAGATGTGGGAGAGAGGAACACTTATCTTGATGATGTGAGTGCAAACTGTTGCAGCCACTATAGAAACAATGTGGATATTCCTCAAAAGCTGACAAAACAGGGCTTGGGTTGCAGGTCTGGAATGCCAACCAGTCAGGCCTGAGGTTGCCAGGCTGCATTTCAGAGCTGTCAGGGCAAGTTAGTGGGACCCTGTACCCAAACTAAAAATAGAAGGGGAGAGTGGCCACAGGTGACTCTTCTAATCAAGGAATTTTCCACAAGGTCTGGTGACGTGTGAGAGTAAGAGGGTGGGAGAAAAAAAAACCCAACTCCTAAGAGATTTCCTCTGACATCTACACCCCTATAGTGAGCTGTGAGTGCTGGCAGACACACAAACATATATTAAAGAAGACGGGGATATATTTCTATGCTGGAGTGTGTCATAGCATACACTGAGTATGGCTTTATATTATGTGATTACAAGTTGTGTTGACATATAAGTACATCAGTATTATGATCTTTTTATAGCTCTTTTGGTGGTCCTGTCACCCAGTTCCCAAATAAATACCAAGTGGAGGCATATTCTTAATTATGAATGCCTGGTCTTAGTTTAACTTGTTTCTTGCCAGCTTTTCTTAAATGATCCTGTCTACCTTTGGCCTCTGGGCTTTTCCATTCTCTTACTACTGTAAATCTTACTCTTTCTCTGTGGCTTGCTGTGTGGCTGTGGCTATGTGTCTGTGTGTCTGGCTGCTGAAGTCCTTCTCCTTGCTGGCTGTTAGATGCCCTCTCAGATTTTCCATTCTATTTTTCCTCTCTGCCTGCCAGCTCCAGCTATCTTTCTCTTGCCTCACAATTGGCTCTTCAGGTCTTTATTAGCCCATCAGGTTTTTTGTACAGGCAAAGTAACAAAGCTTCACAGAGTTAAACAAATGCAACATAAACAAAAGCAACACACCTTAAAAAATATTCTATAACACACCGGGTATATGCAGTGTTCCTGAAACTAGAATTACCACTTACAGTGAGGTCCCATATGCTTGAACCCACAGTCACCTCCAACATATATAAACTAGGGGGACATTTAATTCCCATGGACTCTGTGGAGTTGCGAGCTGTGACAGGATTTCCCAAACATGATGTAAAACCATTATTACTCTATGGGACTAGAGAAAGAGAGAGCTCAGTGGTTAAAAGCACTTGTTGCTCTTGCATAGGACCTGGGTTCTGTTCCAAGCACCCACCTGTAGTTCTCAAAGATCTGTAGTTTTATTCTTAGAAATCCTCAGCCCTCTTCTGGCCTTAAGACCCCATTTATTGCATACATGCATGCAGGCATTCTCATGTACAAATATTTGGGGAGGAAAGTCATACAACAGCCATTCTGGCAAGAGCGAATTATTTTAAAAATTCTTGCATAAAATATTTTATACTTTTATTAAACTAACATGTAAGACAATAAGACTTAATATTTTAAAACATTTTTGAAATAATTTCAGTATGTGGACAATATAGGCCTGAAACTAATACAGAATAGCCTGCATCAGTCTCCTAAAACCTGAGATTAAGTTCATGAATGATCACATTTTGCATTGATATGAAAATTTCTGGGCATGGAATGCTCTATTGTGAGAGGTATTATGTAGTCAGAAACTAACTTCAAGTCTCTGAGCACTCCCCTTGGCGTAGATCCTCATATATCAACTTCCAGAGCTGCTCAGAAGATGGATGTAAGTACTGAACAACATCTGGGCTTCTGGGTGAAGCTCTGGTGGAAACTGCAGCTTCCACTGAGGCTGGACCATCAGTCACTGCTGGGTCAGTCTGGACTTCAACTACTGTGGGTTTCCCAAAGTTGGGAGGTGCAGCAGGGCATTTACCATCAAGCAGGTCCTCTTGGGAACTACACCTTGAATCTTCTACAGCCTGATCATTATTGAGAGAAGCTTCCATGCTGGGTTTGAGGTTGGGAATGGAGCCCACAGTAGATGTGCCTGGAGACAAGGACCCCACATTGGCAGTGACTGATAACTGACCAGGAGAGTGGGTTGACACAGAATCATCTTGAGAGCTTCCAGTTGATTCTGGGAGTGCTTCTTTAACATTCTTGAGTTCCTCCCGTTTCCACCTAGCACGTTGGTTCTTGAACCATATCTGGAAGACAAAAACAATTGTCAGAGGAAGACCCGTGTGCCCAAGTGAACATGCTGATTGGAAATCTTGTCTCTGTCAACTACCCCCATAAAAACAAAGGTCTGGAGCTCAAAAAAAAATGTAAGAGGTAGGATAGTTTATGATTCTACATAAAAGAAAGGGAATCTGCAGCTAGAATATCTAGGCTTTTAAAATGGTCCCTTTTGTCTGGGTCACTGAGACTTTGGCAAGGTGATAATATGGCTCTATAGTGGTACTGAGATTGAAGAAACACCAGATCCAGTTATGGATGCATATAGGTATAACTTCCACAACTGTCCAAGCTCCCCCAAGCATGATGAATCATGGAGAGTTTCTATTCTGATAAATTTACAGAGTCCATGGCTAGCTATTCTGGCTGCAGGAGAGAGATAACAAGAGAAATACAGACCTTGACCTCATTCTCGGTAACACCAATCAGTAGTGCCAGCTTCACCCTTTGCTCCAAGTCTGGGTACTTGAACTGATCAAAATGGTCTAAGAGGAGGAGCTTCTGTTCGTGGGAATACACGGTACGTTCCTTTCGTTGCTTCCTCGGACCTTTACGGCAAACTTGCTGGGCACCATGTTTCTCTGAACACACCATAGGGCCTAGGGAACTCTCACAACCAGAACTCACTGGGGAACTTGAGGGCATCTGGTGACTAGGATGCACTGATTGGGTCCCCAGCGTTGGGGGACCTGGATGCCTTGGGAGACTTGGTTTCCTTGGTGGTCCTGGATATTCCTGGCGGCCTAGGCTCCTTTCAGGATCTGAGTGCCATTGGAGATTTGATTGCATTAGTGTTCTTGGAGGAAATAGGGGACTTTGAGACATTGGCAGACTTGACTTCCTTGCAGAATCTTGAGCCATCTGGAAACCTATTTCCAAAGGTGCATATGAATGTAGTTAGAAATCTGGATGTGAGGGGGGAACTTGGGGAATAGGGGACATAAGTTTCTTGATTTGGCTGAATCTTTTGGGAGACACCTATGCACTGGTGGATATGGAAGTATACTGGGGTGTGATACTAATCTAAGTAAGTTCATGTACTGTAGAACCTGGAAGGAGGCAAATGGATCATACAAGCTCCACAGATCTCATATCTCACCATTAAGATATTGGAGCATTTTTCCAATGTCGTGTGTAGCAGGAATCACTTCAGCTCTTCAAACTTCCTCTCTATCTGACCTTCTTCCCATGAACAGGGTATATGGTAGACCTTGCCCTCCAGACACACATACCAACTCCAGAATGCTACCAATATCCTATTATCCTCTCTCTCCCAGCAAGATACCCCCTCCACAAACCATATACAGACTACATTTAGGCCATCAACTCATTTTGTCTGGACCCACTGACTGTTGGACTTTTACTCCATGAAACTGGGCTTAAATATTTTCTCAAAATAGAAGAACAACAACATCCTAGTTTTTCAGGAATCCTGTGTCAGGGAAGGGCTTAGATTACTTGCCAAGACGCAGGAAGCTTTCTTGACATCTTCAGGTGATTTAGATTAGCTACTAAATCCAATGCAACTTTAACCAAGCAGGCCTAGGTGAGGCTGTTTCACAGAGCACTTGTCTAGGTTTGTATGCATTCAGGAGATCAACCAATATAATACTGTTAAAATGGAAGAAAATATATAGGAACTAGATTGAAAAATAGGTTTTGCATATATTTTCTGTGTGTGTTTGGTCCTCAGGTTGCCAGAGCCCACATCTCTAGGTTAGAAGATAACATATTAAAAGTAGTTTTCTCCTTCCACCATGTGAACCATGGGAATATAACTCAGGTCACCAGACTATTTAACAAGAACTTTGACCACACTGTCTCCCAAGCTCCAGATCTCTGATTCTCAGAATTATGTCACCAGGGAGAGTAGATACTGGGTTTCTGTAGCTCAGGCTGATCTCACACTCACTGTGTTCAGGAGAATGACTGTGAAGTCCTCATCCCCCTGTGTACTAGTCATGGTTCTCTAGAGTCACAAAAGTTACTTAATAAATGCATATAAATATTTGAATTTAATGGATTGACTTACGTTCCAAAAATGGCTAATTATGAATGGAAAATAGAAGAATCCACGAGCTGCTCAGACCCAAAAGGCTTGGTGTCTTGTTTGATCTGCCCAGATCTCAAAGAAGGAATGGATGGCCTTATGGAGATGAAGGCAAGCAGGCAGATTACCCTTCGTAATTTCCTTGCCCTTATATAGTATTCAGAGAGAAGGTGTGGCCCAGATTAAAGGTGTGCCTTCTAGCCTCAAGGTCAGGATTAGAGGGGTGTGTCATCCAGGCTCAAGATTGAATCACAGACCTGTTGCCCTCCTGCCTCCAGATCTGGATCACAAGTGTGCACTCCATATCCAGATAATAGTTCGTTCCAGATATAGTCAAGTTGACAACCAGGAGTACCCATCACAACCTGATTTGAACATGCTAAGATTAGAGGCACAGTTCCCTTGAGTGTGACTTTACCAAGCTCTTTAGTTGCTACTAAGTAAGAGACATTCTGTTCTAACTAGATATTTGTTCTTCCTTGTGAAAACCTTGTTCTCTAGGTAGACATTTTATCCTGTTTCTTTGATATTTGGGAAGACACTGGTTCTGTAGCTGCTCTTGCTATAAGCCAGAGAGACAGGAGAACTTGAACTTGCTCTGTAGCTCATAATCACCTATAGAAGTTGGGATTACAGATTACCATCATGGACCACCACAGGGTAGACATGGAAAAGAAGATGGATTCTGAGGTGATATATTGTGTCCCAAAATCTATTGTGTACCATAATAAAACTTATCTGGGGTCAGAGTACAGAACAGTCATTAGATTAGACATAGAGGCCAGTGAGAGGTGCATGCCACCACATTAATCCCAGAACTTGAGTCCTCATGTCTAGCTTGGGAAGGACACATACCTTTAATCCCAGATAGTGATGGCAGGAAGCAGAAAGATATATAAAGTGTGAGGACCAAAAAGTAGAAGCTCTGAAGCTTGTAGGCTGTTTAGCAGCAGTTCAGTGAAGACATGTTTGTGTGAGGACTCAGAGGCTTCCATCTGTGGATTAATGGAAACAGGATCTGATGAGGGGCTATTAAGGTGAGGTTGGCTATGGCTTTTTCTGTTTCTCTGATCTTAAAGAATTCATCCAGGGTCTGGCTCTGGAATTTTTATTAATAAGACCATTTATCAATTCATCTTACAAGATTCGACTCTGCCCACTGAGTTTCACCCCAACCCTTTATGGTGTTGTTTTGCTGAGTCAGAGTGTCTGTCTGAAGTCTGCACTGGCCTGGGATGTGCAGAGGTCTTGTTGATAAGCCTCTTTTATGCTGAGAATACAAGTATGAACCACCACACTTAGACCTCTTTGCTTTTACATTTTTATTGACTTATTTTTATTCTTCTCATAGGATCTCATGGGAACAACAAACTTAAAACCCAAATGACCTGTAGACATGACCAACTAAATGTTCTCCATGATGCCCCGTTTTGAGGCCTTTAGAATTAATTGTCAGATCATCTAAAGTTAACTAAAATTATTCCATTTATTGTTCTGGACACCACATTGGTACAGCAGGTCTGCATAGTCTTGGAAGTAGAGAAAGGAGGATCAGGACATGAGGGGCCATCCTTTACTACACAGTGGCTCCAAAGCCTGCCTATGTACAGATAACCCTGATTCTAAATGAATAAATATATCTAACAAAAGACAAAAATCTTTCCATGGTTCTCTAAATTTTCAAGTGAAAAGAATAATCATACACTTAATCTTATCAAAGGCTACATAGGGAACAGACCTGTGGACACAGACCTGTGTTGCCAGCTACTTCCAAATGCAGTAGGAGTCTTAAAAGTTCAAGGATAGCCTGGGCTACAGAATGACTTTGATTGTCAACCAGGAATATGTGGCCAGAACTTTTCATTTGAGAAAACAGGGAATAGACTACCAATTTATCTAAATGGGAAATCTCTTTCTGTTTTTACTATGAACAGGACCCCATTTCAATCTCTAGTCCTGAGGAGAGAACAAAAAGAAAAAGAAAAAGAAAAACAGGAAATGATCTAATTTTGTGAGGGAGCGGAGGCTATGGGTGGAGATGGACCTTCAGGCCTCATCCTGGTGCCTATACCAGCACCCTAAACCTCAGTGATATTCCCAGACCAAGAAGATGTTTTTAAACATTTCAATTCCATTATATCATGTGAGGGATGAGGAGCCACATGTGGATGTCAATTGAGATGTTGTAGAAATTTCTTTTTTATTGAGATGTCTTTCCATCTTGGTGCACACAAAAATCAATTCCTATTTTCTAGTAAAATAAAGATAGTACCAAACATACTTTGATTTTTATTATTAGTTTGGATTTTTAATGAATTATTGTACTCAAGCCTGGTGACATTTCCAACCCCTTTCCCTCTCTCTCTTCCCAGTTGCTCGCCCCGACCTCCCTTCTTCCCTCTCTATCCACTCTTCCTCTTTTCTCTTCTGAAAAGGACAGGCCTCTCATGCCTATCAGCCAGTCATGGCATATAAGGTGCTGTAGGACTAGGCACCTCCTCTCCTATTAAGACTGCAGGAGGCAGCCCAGGAGGAAATGAGATCCCAAAAGCAGATAACAGAGACAGCCCTGTGGTGGTATTCTAATTGTACTGAAATGTGATTTTGATTGTATGTTAATAAATAAAGTTACCCGGGGGTCAGAGCTATTAGAGCCATAGCAAGAGTCTGGCGGTGGTGGCACTCGCCTTTAATCCCATAGATCTCTGTGTGTTCAGGGATACAGCCAGCATTGGAGACATATGCCTTTAAGACCTGGGGGGATGTACATACAGACAGTGATGAGGCAGTCATGTGTTTGGGTTTACAACCAATGAGAAGGCAGAACAAAATACTATAAAAAGAGGGACAGACAGGATATAGCTCTCTTTTGGGAAGCTGGGACACTGCAGGAGGAAGGGTGAGATTTTAGCTCTGAGCTTTGACCTCTCGGCTTTCTCTTTTACATTGGTTCTGTGTTTCTTATTTAATAAGACTGTTGATTACATCTACATCTGGCGCCCAACGTGACAAGAATCCATTAAAAACGACTTGACCTGGCGGCAGGTCAAGGGCAAGCAAGGGCAGCAGGCCGGGCAGCCAGCTTTCTAGTCCGAGTAGCAGCCCCCTAGTCCGAGCAGTTGGCTTCCTAGCCCGGGCCTAGGTCTGCTTGGCCTCAGTCCGGACTGTGAGCTGCTTGCTTAAAGCCTGCTTGCTTAAAGCCAGTGCTACAAACAACTCAGACCTGCCGTGCCAAACAGGGCCCTACCTGTAAAGCCAACACACATGGTCAGAACTGAAGGAAGCCAGACCCAAGCCTTGACTCGGCACAAGAGGGAACACGTTGCTGGATTTAAGCTTTAGCCGGCTATGCTTTCTTGTGCGTTCTCTCTCTCTCTCTCTCTCTCTCTCTCTCTCTCTGGATTTACACCTCGGACACTAGGTGGCTGTTTTGAAAATCCCCTCGGATGGATTTCTACTGTTCTACGCAGATTTGGTAAGTCATAACATATCAGATATTTTAAAGGAAACTATCTAAAAGAGAATTTTTTTCCACATTAAAAAG